TAGCCTTGACTTTCAAAACCAAATATTCTCTTTCCTTTTTTCTCACTCTTTGTATATTTTCCTTTTATTTCCCCTTTTCTTATTCACCCCTTCTTCACTCCCTCTCTCTTGCCGTCTCTCCCCCATCTTTCTCTCTTTCACTCTGTCACTCCCGCCTTACCTCCCCTTTCTCTCATTAACAAATAATACTGCTGGTTTTTAAAAACTTTCCAATGTGGGTTTACAGTTTGGTTTTTAGAAAAATAAGAGGAAATCCTTAGCAGACACATGAGCAAACTTTAGGCCAGAACTCAAGAATTGGAATTCATAGGAAATATAAATAGTTTATCTTCATTGGCTCCAAATTCTGCAGCATACAATTATTTGCTGTCAAGAATCACAATTGAGGGAACCAGCAGTTAGCGTAATGGCTATGTCGCTGGACTCCCACGTAGTTGACCGCGGTTCGCGTCCCAGACCTGGTGGCTTAAAACTCATGCCGGGCGCGTGTGCGTGCGTGCCCAAGATCCCGAGAGGAGAATGGAGGAGAAGGGATTGCAGCGTGACCATCTCCCCTGGAGGGTGATTTCTCACTTTCTGTCTCTATGTCTCTCTCTGTCTGTCTGGTGAGCGCAGGCGCCCTATAGTGAAAAACCTCCTCCCCCCCAAAAAAAAAGAATCACAACTGACCAGAGAAATCCTCCCTTCGTCACATTCATTAAAATAAAGACATAAAAGGGACCAGCAGATGGTATAACGGTTACATCGCTGGATTCCCATGTAGTCGACCACAGTTCGAGTTCCAGACATGGCGGCTTAAGACTCACACCAGGTGTGTATGTGTGTGCATGCCCAAAAATCCCCAAGAGGAGAATGGAGGGGAAGGGATCGTGGCATGGCCATCCATCCTGGAAGGCGATTTCTTGCTTTCTGTTTCTCTGGCGAGTGCACACACCCTAGAGCTAAAACTTTTCTAAATTTAAAAATAAATAAATAAAATTAGAAAAGAAAAGACATAAAATAACTTACCTTTACATCCAATAATATTTTTGGAATCTGATCTTGAACAAGTGTGTCAAATCTCAGACTTTTTATAATAGTGTCATTTAATATCATGTATCTTATAGTAAGTATGGGGTATACACAGGGGTCAGTAGGTTCCATTGATTATAGCCCCCTGGATAATAATGGAGTAATATTATTATAGCCAAGTATTAATTTGTCCAACAAACATTTGAATACTTGCTTTGTGCCAGGGACTTCATTGGATACTAAGCACAGACATGGTCCCTGCCTCGTGGAGCTGGCTTCCCTATGGGAAAAGATAGTTACACCAACAACCACAGAAACCACTTATGTGGTACAGACCACAGTGGAGACTTGCACAAGGTAGAGAGTAAACAAGGGAAGCCAGTAACTGAGCATGACAGCAAAACAAACCATTCCTAGGAAGCATTTGAGAACCTAGTGAATATTTGAACTGAATCGTAACAGTCATTATGAATAGGCCACAGGAAATGGGAGTGATGGGCAACAGAAATGAACCTAAGAAGTCATTTTTAAATAGATTGTATATGCTTCTATACTGCTTCATTTTAGCAAACTGCTAATGACTTCATTGCCAGTACACCTAATCTCCAAATATACAGTAATGTAGCATTTTGCTGATACAGTGTTTGGTTTGGTTTGGTTTGGTTTGGTTTTTGCCATAGGGTACCTGCACTCTCTGGAGAGAGACAGAGAAAGGGAAAGTGAGAAATGGTCACCCCACAATCCTCTTTCCTCCATTCTCCTTTCAAGATTTTGGGCATGCACATACACCCATTCAGTGTGATTTTTCGAGCCAGTGGTTTGCCACTTAAGCCATGTGGGATCCAGCACCTTAACCACCATGCCACCTGCTAGCCCCTGGAGTACTCTTTTTTTTAGACGTAATAATTTGTAATATAAATATATTTTGGTTTTGGTATAGTTAAAAAGTAGGACAATGCTGGGCCAGCAGGCAGCATGGAGGTTAAGGTGGCTGGATCCTGTATAGCTGACTCTTTGTTTAGAGTAGCTTGAAAGTCATATGGGGCACATGTACGTGCATGCTCAAAATAGCAAGAGGAGAATGCAAGAAAAGAGACTATATTGTGTTCATTCTTCCAGGTAGGTGATTTCTCACTTTCCCTGTTCCTCTCTCTGTCTCTGTCTCTCTCCCTGGCAGTGCACACAAACAAAAGACAATGCTTAAGAGTATCTATCAAGGTGGAAAACCTAAGACCCGCAGGTAGCGTAGCAGTTGCATCACTGGACCCACTACAGTTTGAGTTCCCAGATGCCATGGCTTAAAAAAAAATCACACCAAGGGCATGTGTGTGCCCAAGATCCCAAGAGGAAAATGGAGGAGAAGGGATTGCTGTCCCTTGGGTATGTGTGGGAGGGTTCTCACTTTCCCTCTCTCTGTCTCTTTCTCTCTGTACAGCGAGCATATGCACCCTGAGACAAAACAAAACAGACTTCAAAAAATGCGAAACCTAAAGTTCTTTATATTTTTTTAGTAATAAGTAGGCTTGTAAAAATTAAAGTTTAGGCATATAATCACAATACAGCAGTGTAATACTTCACCATTTTCAATAAAGATTGTATTGTAAACACATTGAATGTTTTCACAGTGTTAATTCATTTTTTTCATTCATTGAATGTAATAGTTTATTCAATCACTTATTTTTCATATTGGACTTAGTCTTTTCAGAATTCTAATTCTGAAAATATATGTGCATCTAAGGTAATAGTATTATGTGTATGTCATTTGCAAGATGTTTTGTTACCTAAAATAATACATTATATTTTTAGGTATTAAAAGATGCTGATGTATTTATGTTAGGTTGGACGGATGGTTAAATGCATGGAGGAATGAATGAGCAGATAGACAGACAACTGTTTATAATAATCCCAGATAAAGTAATAGTATTATAAACTATAGAAGTTAACATGGGTCTTTCATATCAAACTCTAGTTCTACTATTTAATGACCTTAGGCAAGTACCTTGCACGCTCTGTGCCTCAATTTATTGATAATATTGAAAACAAAATAATAGTTTCTCCCTTGTAGAGATTTTGTGATGATTAAATGAAAGAATGTACATATGGGACTTAGCAAATGCTACATATGATGAAAGAAAAAAGAAGAGGAAAGTTCTTCCGTTGAGACCCAATAAATTCAGATTTAAGTATATTTTAAAATTTGCCTACCAAAAGGATTTAGGTAGTTGAAATGAAAATATTTCATTCTTTTTTAGAATTGTTTATTTAATTTATTATTATTATTATTATTATTATTATTTTAATTTGCTATAGGGCTCGTGTTCATCAGCAGGGGAGGGGGAAAGAGGGAGAGGAAAAAACAAGCCACCAGGTCTAGATCCATAGTACCATTTAGGTCTGATTGAATCTCTGAAAATAAAGCTCCTTCCAGTGTGATCATAAAAACATCAAACTAACATTAGTTTCCTAAATAAGACACTTATCTTTATGTATTACTATTATTCTCACTTTAATGAGAAGTCTTGTAGCATATAGATAAGCTAGAAAAGATTGCTTAACCACAAAAAAAATACTAAGCCATATCAATTAAAGATAGAGAAAAGTCAGTGTTATATTTCCTTCTATATTTAGAAGTACTTCCTATGTCACTTTCATGTGTTCATAATTATTTGTCTTCTGGCCATTTTCAGAATCACAGAAAGCGATTCATATGCATGCTGTCATGGTAAATGTGACATACTTTGCCTAAATTTTAAGACTATTTAGATCTTTGGGATAGTTTTGCAATTGAAGAAGATAATGTGGCAAATTACCACAGTTATCATATCTTATAAGACATTGCTGTTAGATTTAGTAATTGCAAGTATATACAAGGGGAATTCAAAAAGTTCGTGGAAATGTGTATTATAAAAAAACTGCATAGATTTCCTTTTTTAAATATGTACCGAAATGAATTTGTACTTTAATTCCATTTTTTTCATTAACTTTTTTGAGTCTCCTAGTGCAGCTATTCAACAAAAGTGAATGAAACTACTGACTTTTCTGTTTTTTATCTCTGCTACCCTCGTCAAAGTCACCATCATCCCTTTGTAGTCTATAACACGACAGACCTGAGCACTGACTTTCTTTGTTTCTTCTACCCTTGTCACCTCTTCCATGTTTCACACAGTCAGAGAGGTCACAGTATGTCACTCCTCTACCTAACAGTAAGTTTGCTATTATACCCAGTAAGACCCACAATCCTCACCACGTTCTGGGATCTAGACCCCATCATGACCACTCTTCCTCTTCCTCACTCTGCTCCAGGTACCTTAGCCTTCTGATCTTTCGAAAAGAGCAGTAGCTAATTCTTTTCCAAAACTTCGGTGTTAGTTGTCCTCTCTACTTGGAAATGTTCCTTTCAGCTCTTCCACGGGAGGCTCTTCTGTCACTTAGATTCAGCTAACATACTGTCTTTTCAGGTACACCTTTTCGGAGCATGGACTATATTTTTAAATGAATAGGATGTAGTCACCCTCCCAGTGAAAGAAGTGTAGCCCTAGAAGTGATTAAGCTTACCTCTTGGAACTGAACAGGTTTAGGTCTTCTGTGGTACACAGCATAGCGCAGGGATTGAACTCTCTGCTTAATCACTACATTTATCAGTGCCCTTCAAGGAAGCTACTGCTTTGTGGATTTCTAGCTAGTGGTCATGTGCCTATGCGTTAAACCTCTTAGAAAGTTAAAACATACCACCTTCCTGGAACATTTTTTTTTTAGCTCTGATCAGTTTGTGTTTTGACAACTCTCTGTATAGAAGGCTAATTATACTTTCTGATCTATTTCCATGATATATGATACAAGATTCAATATGGGAAACAAGATCCATTATCATCTGTATTTTAGCAGTTTTTCGGTGTCAGACTCTTACCAGGAAAAGTTTTTTTGCCCGTATTTTCCAAATGCCGTATGTCATCCCTCTGACCAACACTGTTTCTGCTTGGTTATTTCAGCACTTCTATGTAATGGAAAATTTCACAAACACTTGCAAGAAATCTTTGTACCTTTGGTTGTCCGCTATGTCGACCTCATGGAGTCCTCCATCGCCCAGTCAATTCACAGAGGTTTTGAGCAAGAGACATGGCAGCCTGTCAAGTAGGTATCTTACCTAGTGTCCACAGAGCGTCTGCCTCTCCAGTCCTGACCGTATGACTTTACACATGGCCATCTGTAGTTATTGCTTATGGTGGTCCCTTCCCACGTTGTTTGTTTCTTTACAGGAATATCGCCAACAGTCTTCCCAATGTAGCTCTTCCAAAAGTTGCAAGTCTGCCTCTTAATCTTCCACAGATTCCTAGTTTTTCTACTCCTTCGTGGATGGCTTCTTTATATGAGTCCACGTGTGTATTCCTCACTTATTTCCTGGTGGTGTGTTAGCTAGTGCATGGCCTGGGCTGTGTTCTGTGCAGATGTGTCTAGATTGCGTGGCACTTATTATTGTTGGTAGAGGAATACTCTGTTTTTACTTTTACTTGTTTGAGTTTTGTAAGCTATTAAGCTAAGCTTAGCATATTATGAATGATGTAGATTACAAAGGAAAAAAGAAACGTACTGGTTTGATGTAGTCCATGTGTAATCTGTGGGGCCGGGGTCATCTTGTGACCCAGGTTATAGACTCTACCGTAAGTGATATGATCAGAGTTCTCTTTATATAGAAAATGGCTTTAGTACATGACTTATTTTGTGCATGTGTAAAACCATTTTAAGAACAGTTTGAAGAATATTGTATTTTTCAAGCTTGCCTCACATACAGTGGTTAAGGGAGCTGAATCCCACAATGCTGATCATGGTTCAAATCATGGCTACGGCAGCTTGAAAAACACGCCAGGTACCTGTGTGTTTGTGCCCCAAATCCCTAAAGTTTGAGAAATAGAGGAGAAGGATTGCAGTCTGACCATGCCCCACTGGGGCTGCTTTCTCCCTCTCTCTCTCTGTCTCTCTATCTCTCTGGAAAGCACATGTGCCACACCCTCTGGTAATTTAAAAAAGAAAAAAAACGAATGTATTCTTTTTCTATTTTTACCTTAGTCTCAACTTTTTTTTTTAAGGTTTTTTTTGTTTTTTGTTTTTTGGGGTTTTTTTGTTTTTTGTTTTTTGGGGTTTTTTTGTTTGTTTGTTTTTGTTTTTTTGCCATAGGATACATGTGCTCACTGGAAAGAGAGCAACAGACAAGCAGGGAGAAGGAATGTGAGAAATCACCCTCCCAGGGGGAGATGGCCACACCACAATCCCTTCTCCATTCTCCTCTTGGGATTTTGGGCACCCATACACATGTACCTGGCATGATTTTCAAGCTGCCCGGTCCAGTACTCGAACAGCAGTTGACCATGTGGGAGTTCAGTGCCTTAACCACCATACTACCTGCTGGACTCCTATAGTCTCAGCTTTAAAGAAAGAGTATTGCATCTTGTAGGCAAGGATGATCCTATCTTTTTCAACACCAGGAAGTTTCTCTTTTATTCCTTTCATATATCAGTTGTATGTACCCTGTCATTTTTAAAGAATCATTATACCATTAAAAACCATACTTACTATTACAGATTCAGTAACTGAAAGTCTTTAAAGTGAAAAGACATGGGATTTAAAATTGATCAAGACTGAATTTAGACATGAGCTTATTAATTATAAATTTTCCCTACCCTCAATTTCCTCATGTCTATGAAGACATTTTTGTGGAGATTAAAAAACTATATGAAAATACCTGGCCCATCGTAGGCTCTCAATAAATGATGATAACTATTGGCATATAGCAGGTGCCGACAAATGATAAGTACTGTTGTTCTACATTAGTATCATTAATACTGCATTATCATTACCAATTGTTACTATTGTTATTTAGAACTGTGTGGTTTGTGAAACTATGAGCTTTGCAGCATCACATGAACTAAGTCATAGTCCTAGTTTACAAATGGGAAAACTAAGACAGGCAGTTACACGATTTGCCCAGGAGCTCATGTGACGACAGCTAGAAAGGATAATAATCAGAAGAAAACAAATAGCTTCCATTTCTTGAGGATGTACTGTGTTCCAGGTACAGTGCCAAGTTGTTTAGATCATTTAATCCTTGTAGCAGTCCTGTGAGGTAAGTGTCATTATCCACATTTTACAGTTAAGGAAATGAAGTCACAAAGAAATGAATGTTCAGTGTCTCACAGGTGAACCACAGGCAAAATTTGAATTCAGGTTTGCTTGACTACCAAGCCCTTACTCTTATCATTAATTTAGTCTGCTTCCAGAGAATATGCTGGTTAACTTAGTTAACTGGTTAGCTTTCTACCTATCCCACCACCCCCTGTTAAATCTACACCACATCAAATATGCACACACTCAAGGAAAGGGAGAGGACAAGACCATGAAACAGAGCAATCACTAATAAAATAATGTGGAACGTTTCAAGTTAAACTCCATCGCTGAGCGCATAGTAACTGCCCAGTCTATTATGGTGCAGGTGAATCTTTTTCTTACAAGTGCTTCAGGCCGTAAGAGGATATAGAGTGGTGTCTGTGTGCTTAGGAATCACCTAGGAAGTATAATGAACCTTTCTAAGTTTATGATTTTCATACTGGATATTATTTTACAATTTTTCTCCTCTTCTTTCTTATTCTTCATCTATTTCACACCCTTGATTTTAGCCAAGAGCACTTTCGTGGCCACTGTCCTGTGAGATTAAGTTTTGCTTTGCTGTTGCATTAGTTTTGAGATTTATATGAACCCCGAATCTATAGACTTCATTTTAAAATCATCTGAATCCCAGGACAGCAATCATAGCATATTAGGGCTTGTGATAAAGTGAGTATTCTTTTATCCATCTGGGCAAATAAAAAACTGTGTTTTATAAGTTGACCATTATTTAAGTACAATTGCCGATTAAGTATAAAGAATATAAAGATAACCAGGGATTTGAAGATATATCCCTACCTACTAACACATAAATTATGCCAAGACCTGCTCCTTCACATCTCTGTGTATATAAAATCTTCATTTTGGTTTTTGTTTTTTTTTTTTTTAGCTCTAGAAATGAATGCCAGTAAGGTAAGTTTCCTGCTGGCATTTTTAAGAAATTATCTCAGAGTCCATTATTCACATTTGAAATCTTTAATCTGTTAATAATACCTTTAGGAATAGGTCACTGATTAGAAGTAATTTTAAAATGAAAAAGCTCTGAATAAATTGCAGGTTATATGTACCAACTCCAGAGAAAACCTATTTACATTTTTTCATCTATCTATCTAATTATAACAAACACTTGTTATCTTAATTACATTCCCAATTAAGCACACTTATTGTCTAGAATCTTACCATAGCATCAATCAGAAGATAAACATATCCATATCTTCTATAAAGATTTAATTATCACATATTATGAGAAAGACTATTTTAAGTCGAATTTTGTTTTTACTATTGGAGGTATTGTTTTGGATGGATTTTTGTCATTGTGTCGTTAAAGAACACATATGTTTCATATAGTTCTATTTCTCCAAAGAAAAAAATTGTAAATAGAAGATTTGCTTCTTTGCCAATTAAATTCAATTACTCTTCAAAACATAGGTCATCTAACCTATCAAACTTCACACGGTGGATATATTGTGGGATTTGTTTGGTCATGAATATTTTTTATTATACACATGGTAAAGGAGACATAAAGGTAGTGGGTTGTTGGGTTTTTTTTTTCCCCTCCCCAAACATTTTTCACAGTAGTGGCAACAGTGTTATCTGGTTCTTTTATTGAATGGTTCTTTGGAAGCACTGAATATTAAGAGGAGAACATGTTAGGTGACTCAAATGCTATGGTAGTGTTCACTGCTTGTGATTGGTCCCTAGAGAACTTAACTCTGAGGCTGGCTTGGCTAGACAAGGAGATCACAAGGAGTTACTGGCAGAATTAGAGGAAGAAAGTAACATAGGTTGTGTTGAAGCTGAGACATGAGGCCAGGGTGGAGCGTTGAAATAAGCTTTTAATTAGTCAGAGCAAGAGGTGATATCTTTTTTTTTTAAAGCTAGCTAATTAAGACACGATTAGCTAAACAACGTGGTTGTTTTAAATAATTTTAAGTTTTTCACTGTGCCCTTATGATAAACAAGTTTATTTCTTTAATTTTCTTTTGCAAACTAAAAATATAAATTTTAGATTTCTATGTGGAAAGCAGTTATGGGAAAGCTGAGGACAAATGAATTACTTCCAGCTCTTTCTTTTGCTTTTCCTTTTGTTCTCATTTACAGTTACACTTCAATATGTTTTAACATAGGAATATTTTCCTATCAAAACATCTGTTTACTTGTGAGCCTGTGTACTTGCATAATAGAAAGTAATGCATTGTTGTTTGTCCAAATATATGCTCACTTCTGCAAATCACCTTCAGTCATGGTGCAAAAATGCAGTCCCCTAAAGTAATTTTAGCATAGTAGTGAATACATAGCAAATCTCAGCTCTACAGTTACATATAAGGACCTGAAATACATGATTTTCTTCCAACTTTTCAGTTCCCTGAATGTCATTTCTCTCTCAGATCATGCTTTGTACTAAGTTGAGTTTTAGAATGAGCTAGAAAAGGCACAAAGCACTTTTAAATAAGAAAAGCTTGCCTCCCTACCTGGCTGCTGCTTGTTTCCAGTACCTATTTCAGATTTACCTTAAATAGACAGGAGCCATCACGATGACAGAGGCACATACGCATAGCTAAGAATAAAGCTACTAGTTGGTGTTGTATGGATTGTCTTGCATAAAACATTTAAGAAACTCTAAGGGAAAAATATTTATATTTTTATTTTTATCCTAGAGATTGGTAACACACTTTATTATTATTATTATTTATACATTCAATCACTATACATCATTTAGATTGTAAAGAGATTACCCAGCATGACATACACCTCAGTCCAACCCAGTTGAGAATACTATACACATCCTCATCAACAGATAATAAACTATATCTATGTAACAAACTTTTAAAAGATTTGTTCTTACATTGAAATCTGATTTAGTTTCCTTAGTAAAGTGGCCTTATTCATTTTATCCCTTTCTATGAACCTTACTATTAATACTATATTTCTTTCTTTCTTTTTAGAAAGAGTTTTTTTGTTATAGGGCATGTGTGCTCACTGGAGAGACAGAGATAGACAGAGAGAGAGAGAAAGTGAAAACTCACCCCCCTGTTGGTGGCATGGCCATGCCACAACCCCTTTTCTTCTATTCTTCTCTCAGGAGTTTGTGCACACACACATACATGCCCTACATGAGCTTCTAGCCACCAGGTCTGGGACTTGAACTGTAGTCAGCTATGTGGGAGTGCAGCACTTAAACCACTACACCATCTGCTGGCCCCTTTATTTCTGTTTTATCCTCCTTGCCTTACTGTATTAAGAGTGAAAAGGAAGAATTAGAAGGCTGGACAAGAAAAAATATATCGGGTCATTAGAGATTTTACACGCTATTTTTTCACTGACGGCGGTTGATACAAGGGAAAACAGTGTATTGGTGGGCCACGTAATCAACAGTTGAAGTTCACTATGTTCGTTTTCCCTTTCCCTTTTAGCAATGGCTCAGCAACCTCAGAAGACCTGTTCTGGAAACTTGACGCACTGCAGATGTTTGTCTGTGATCTCCACTGGCCAGAACAAGAATTTGCCCATCATTTAGAGCAAAGGCTTAAACTGATGGCCAGTGATATGATAGAGGCCTGTGTCAAAAGGTAGAAATATATTTTCAAGTCGTTGCTTAATATGCCAGCCCCCAAAATATCAAGGATGTTATGTACAGGAAAGATTCCAATACGCACTTCTATTCCAAAATGTAATGGGTATAGGTTCTTTGACAGAAATTCTGGCCAATTGAAATCCACCTGCTACTTATTTTTCCAAGTCTCCCAGCCATTATCCTAATCAGTAGTACCCATACCATATTAATCATTTCTGTTGTGCTTATTGTTATCTCTCTGGGAATACTGTGCTTTAAATTCCCAAGGCAGTATCTCTTGAGACATATGGCAAAGGTCTGCTAAGTTCTTTATGCATTATGTGCTGTGTCTGTGTGCTGTGAAATGGCATGGCAAGCTCAAGGTATGATCGGCACCACTCACTGTTCTGGGATTACTCACCATTTTCTGGCATTTTCAGTCCACAGCAGATAGTATCTATTTACAGTCTTTTTTTTTTTTTTTTGGAGAGGTTTTTGCTATAGGATGTGTGCCCTCACCAAACAGAGAGAGACAGAGAGATAGAAAGCAAGAAATCACCCCCCAGGGGGGATGGCCATGCCACAATCCCTTCTCCTCCATTCTCCTCTCGGGATCTTGGGCACACACACACACATGCCCAGCATGAGTTTTAAGCCACCAGGTCTGGGACTCGAACCATGGTCGACTACATGGGAGTCCAGCGACATAGCTGTTATGCTAACTGCTGCTCCCTACAGTCTTTACCAGAAATAAATTATGAGGCCTTAGATTCCCCATATATGATTTTGTATTTCCTTAATAGTTATTACAAAATCAGCATTGTATCCTAAACATATACCCAATGTATTTTTCTATTGCCCTTGTTTGTGATATGTACAAGAACAGCATAGGCAGCATGTTGGAAAATGGGTCAAACATTGGTTGCAGTAATAGAATATTCTTGAATTCTTTAAACCAAGAAAAATCCTGTCTTTGGAATAGTGTTCAATGGCTCACTAGGGCAAGGCTATGAATTATATTAGTCAATGTTTTTTTTAAAAAAAGTAATCTGTGGGCTAGCTAGTGGTGTGGTAGTTAAGGAAGCTGGATCCCATATGACTGATAGCGTGGTTCAAATCCCAGATCCGGGTGCTTGAAAAACACACCAGGCATGTGTATGTGTGCCCAAAATCCCAAAAGGAGTGATGAGAAAGAATTGTGGCATGACCATCTCCCATAGGAGTGCTTTTTATTTTTTTAAGAATTATCTAACTTTGGGACCAGCAGTTAGCATAATGGCTATGTTGCTGGACTCCCACGTAGTCGACCGCGGTTCAAGTCCTGGACCCGGTGTCTTAAACTCACACCGGGTGTATGTCCATGCATGCCCAAGATCCCGAGAGGAGAATGGAGAAGAAGGGATTGCAGCATGGCCATCCCCCCGGGGAGTGATTTCTCGCTTTCTGTCTCTCTGTCTCTGTCTGTCTGGCAAGTGCATGCGCCCTCTAGCAAAAACCTCTCAAAAAAATAAAAAAGAATTATCTAACTTTATTCATTCATTCACTTTAATTTGACCAGAGAGAGACAGAGAAAGAATGAGAGAGAGAGAGAAAGTGAGAAAGCAAGCCACCAGGTCCAGGACTCGAACTGTGGCGGGCCATGTGGGAGTGTCCAGCACCTTAACTACCACACCACCTGCTAGTCCTCACTAGCCCCTTACCGTATGTCTCTCTGCAGCAAACACACTCATCCTCTAGCAAAGTTAAGAAAAAAAAAAAGTGATTTTGATGTCTCAAGTATGTGAATGTTCTTTGGATTCTTTAGCAAAACCCATGACAAATTGCCCATTTTCAGCTTCTTTCAAAAACCTATCTGCAACTTGAGGTATTTGAAAGAGAATAAAAGTGACATAAAATAATTATGCATTCTCTGTTGTACATTGATTATCATGTTTTAGAGTTTTCCAGACTTAACGCGCTTTTTTTCTTAGTTCAGTAAGCCCTCACATAAAGGGTTTGTTCTGCTTTCATGCCAAGAAGCATGTGATTTTTCTATTTAGAAATGAATTCAGGCAGTCAAGTGAAACTGTGAGGTGTTCTTATTCAATGTAATATACTAAATATAAGATGCTTCATTTAGAAAGTGATATTGTCAGAGAGACAGCACAAAGCTAGGTTTCATGTGATGCATGGCAGTCTGATCTTCCATTTGAGACACTTGAAAAGAAGAGCACCCCAGTCAGCCCCTACTCTCAAGCAGTGCCTCACTGTTCACTGCTAATTTGCATGGTTTAACTTAGCATCGTGTAGTATTGATTTCATTTTTACAAAACAGGTGAGATGTATGTCAGAATTTCTTACTTTGAATTCGTGTTTTAATAACCAGAACAAGAACTGCATTTGAAGTCAAGCTGCAAAAGGCAAGCAAAACCACTGACTTGCGCATACCAGCTTCCGTGTGTACCATGTTTAATGTATTGGTCGATGCCAAAAAGCAAAGCACCAAACTCTGTGCCCTGGATGGAGGACAAGAGGTGAGTGGAGTGTGTGGCACATGAGGAGATGCCACTCGGGCATCCTGGCCGGGGAGGATGCTGTTTCTAGGAGACACTCACTCACTTGATTGCATTAAAAAATGACCACATTTTCCAACACCAAATCTTTTAATAATGGAATACCTTTTATCTTTTGCTCAGGGCAGTTTCTCCTTTTTTTACATAAATACTGCCTCAGATTTTACAAGTGCTCATTGAATTTCAGGTACACCTTTTAACAGCTTAGGTGTTGTGGATTTACATAAGCCTTGTTTTTTATTTTTTATTTCTTTTTTTAACAAACAAATGAGAAAGCTAGATAGCTACCATCTTTGTTTATACAAATCTAGAGTACCCTGAGTTTGCATCCATAAAAGCCAACCAAGAAAATAGTATATGAAATACTTTATTTACACAAAAGTTTCCATATTTTAAAGATCAAGTAGAAGCATACTTAAAAACTCGGTCTAATTCTTATCAATAAATGCCCTGTTGTTTCAATTAATTTACATTTTGTCTGTTTTATATTCAGAAGTATGGTTTTATTCTACCTCATGATTTATTTTTGTTGAGAGGAGTGATTGGTTGAAAATGGATTTATTTTTCATATACTATATGTTTAGGTTATATTTTTGTTCCTTTTTATGCTTTGTAATTATTTTGTTGTCATTTATTTATTCTTTCCTTATGTTTTCTTTCATTATTTTACCCCCCATGGCATCACCCAGTTTGGTAGTCAATGGGTAAGTCTCTTTTTTGTTGTTGTTGTTAATCATATTTTTGTTTGAATTATTATTTTTATAAATGTCTATTTTTATTTTTTCACATTAAGATCATTAATTTCACTTTCAGGTTTTGGGTTTGTGTGTATATATCTATAAGACTAACAAGTTACTCTTTCTTAGGAATAGCCCAAAGGCCAATTAAAACACATGTGGCTACTTTTACCTTAAATAAATGTTTTCTTAAAGTTTCTTCCCTGTTAGGCTGCAGAATCTATAAAATACACTTAGATTTGTTTAAAATTATTTAAAACCAAGTGAATTTACCTTCCTTTCAGTTAAAGTCTATTCAGTGTAGAAGCAGAGTGATTGTTAACATTCTCAGTCATATACCGGGGTACTTCAAAAACTTCATGGAAAATGGAACTAAAGTACAAGTTTATTTTGGTGCTCCCCACCAATTTATTGAAATCATGCATAGTCTCATAATATGCATTTCCCATGAGCTTTTCGAAGGCCTTTCATAAATACAGTATATACTTTCACTAGTACTAGAACTGAGCTTCGGCTTTAGGTAACATGTGGCTTACATCAGGATAAGCCCTACACATTTGGACCAGGAGGCCGCACCTAAAATCACTTTGTATGGATGGACCCAGGTGTGGATTTCAGCGAGGTACCAGCCCACAGGTAATACAGTCTTCCCTGTTACCCCAGGCCCAGGATGTAACTATCATCAGAAGTAGGGAAGAGCAGGCCTGTGTCACAAGGCTCTCACCCTTCTTTACAAAGGCTGTCCCAGAACACCACCCTAGAACCTCTGAAGTGCATGGGTTGACATCATTTCTGCCCACAGGATTGACTGTATTATACTCTGGTTTTATTTTTAAGTCAACATGTTTTTGTGTTCTATGGATAGGCTTCATCTTACAAGTCTTACAGTTAACACGTGGATGTCCTCTCAGCCTGACTCTTGCTAGGCTAACAGTTCTTATCCAAGCAGAAGGGCACAGCTAAGTAGGAAAGTTGATGAGAAGGTCCACTACTTGTGAATTTCTTACTTATCTAACCCAGACATATAGACACTATCCAACTGGCAATCATTTCTATTTGTATGTTTATGCTCATGCTTCAAGCAATTCAAGAAGAAACATGTACTTCCAGTATCACAGTTTACAACCGTATACATATACTAAGTAACTAATACGTGTTATAGAATGTTCAGTAATTGACATTCTCTGATCACTTTCAATATGATTTATTATCTCTAATTACCTGGCTAAGTAGGCAGCTGGCTTGGATACCAATGGCTCCTGTCTTCCTCCTCATATATTCAATACCCGATATAAGCCTTTAAAGGTCTGTCTGAGAATATCATCTTAAGTCTCTTGATAAACCCTTTATTTTCTTCTTTATATAATTATCGTGCCCCTTCCCATCAATGCCAGATTTACCCATTCGTTCTTACTTTAACATACACTGTAGTACCTGACATACAATAAGCACTTGGTAAATATTTGTTGAGTAAATTAACAGGCTGATTTGTTGCCACTGCTTTACAAATCCTCCCCTATAAGAAACAACTCACTCCAGTACTTAAAAAGAAACACGGGATACATACAAATGACAAACACTGTTGCATTGTCAGATGAATCTTTACATTAATGGGTGGATGGTTTTGAAGAGTATTGTGCTTCTGTTCATTATGTCTGCACCTGTACCTTCTCACCAGAGACAATTAGTTCTGTACGACTTTCACACAATTAATATAGTTCAAAATGTCCAGATGTAAAACCCATTAGCAACCCTGAAAAGTGGTAAACAAGAATTTCAATGCAAAAGAAAGATTTTATCATTTGCTTTCTCTGTCCAGTAAATATACCCACATAACTGCACAGCTTTCCCTCTCCGTATATGCCAGGGTGCATTTTGGAATTGTTGCAAATTAGCAAGTGCATTACAGAGGTGAGCAAGTCATCCCCATTTTACAGAAAACAGCAAATGAAGTTATTGAAAAAAACTAGACTACTCAACAATTTGGAGCCATATAAAGATCTGTCCTACATAGTGAAGCCTGGCTGAAATTTTTTTTCCCTGAGTTTATAAGAAAATTACCTCTCCAAAACCTCTACTAAATTCACTACACTGTCATTGCTGGGAAGAAATCTTCCACCTCCTTACTCATAAACAGTCCCTTCTATGCTCCTAAATTTTGGTTCGTCCTGTTTTCTTACATGCCACATGACAATGCAAGCATGTCCTGCAAGGCCCAGAATTAGATTTAATGGGGTGATTAGTGAGTGAATGATCAACTCATGTGACAGCTGTGCGTAATGAGTCAGCAGTCTCAGGCCTGTCCCCCAGGGACAGATGTTGAAATCATAAAACCACTGCAGTGTTTAGGATGCTCATTATCCACTGCAGAGAGACAGATGACGGCATGGGCTGCAGGCATCCATCTGCCCTCGAAGCCCCTTCAGCCCATGGTGGCATTGGTTGAGGAAGAGGGTAAAAACACACTAATGGGGCAACTTGGGGGAGCAGAGGTCCTACTTCCTCAGGGCTTGTTCCCAAATAAAATGCTTCCATTTGCAGAACTAACAATCCAGTACCTTTAAAATGTATCCCAAGAGAAGAACCAAACTCTTTTTTAGTAAGCTGGATTGCACTGCCATTTCATTCATCTTCAATTCTGTGTTTGCCTGAGAACAGTCAGGTGAGATGGTATCACCTGGACCTAGGGGAGCCTAGATTTCAGGCCGTGTCTGATCTCTGAGTTCCTTGGGCTCCATGACGTAAGGAGTCTCAAACGGTTCTCTCAATACAAGTTCAGAGTCACCTGCTGCAGACACATGCAGTCTGCTGACAAGCACGCATGTAGGGATAATTAGTTTAAGAACAAACTGGTGTCTGTCAAAAGTCCTGGTATATTGGGAACCAGCAGTTAGCATAATGGCTATGTCGCTGGACTGCCACATAGTCGACCGCGGTTCGCGTCCCGGACCTGGTGACTTAAAACTCACACCAGGCGTGTGTGCGTGCGTGCCCAAGATCCCGAGAGGAGAATGGAGGAGAGGGGATTGCGGCGTGACCATCCCCCCTGGGGGGTGATTTCTCGTTTCTCTCTCTATGTCTCTCATGTCTCTCTCTCTCTGGCGAGCGCACGTGCCCTATAGCAAAAATCTCTCAAAAAAAAAAAAAAAAAAAGTCCTGGTATATTTAAGATCATCAATCCAACTTGAAAGACTCCAACAAGAATTTTATAGGTTCTTGTAGTTAGGAATAAAAACTTCCCGTACTTTTTTCAAAAATCCTCTGAGTTAACCAAAATAATAATAATAAAGATCTATCAATTTTTGTTTAAGTACTGTAATTACCTAGGCAGACGAATTTTGTTTTTGTCTGTTTATGCTCTCTTTGGGGGTGCTGTCTTTGAAATCTATTCAGATCCCCTAATGAATAACTCTTCTCGGCTAAGTTTCCATTCCTCGCATGTGACATATGTGCATTACTCTCTTTGCAGAACATGCACGCACACACTCTAGGACTCTGCAGACCACTTACCCATCCCGAATTTGCTTCCAACACACTGCTTCCAACTGTGTATCCAGAGCAGGTTCTAAAAGTTTCCAGTAGTTTGAATATTAGCATTAAGTCAGATCCAGTCAGGAAAAATTCACAATAACAAAATCTCATGTTATAAAACCAAAATAAACCTCCTACTATTTGCATTCATTTTTTGGGTAACACATTTATCAAGACTTTTTTGTTCCTTTTTTTTTAAAAAAGAGATTTTTGCTCTAGGGCACATGCACTCCCTGGAAAGACAGAGAGACACAGAAAGACCAAAACCAAGAAATCACTTCGCAGAGTAATAGCCATGTTGCAATCCCTTCTCTTCTATTCTCCTCTGGGGATTTTGGGCATGCACGCATATGTGCCCAGTGTGAGTTATAAGCCACCAGATCCACAACAACTTCATGGGAGTACAGTGACGTAACCATTACGCCATCTGCTGGTCCCTGTTCCTTCCATTTTAACTTGTGGTGGTTTTTCTGTTTTGTTTTGTTTTCATTTTTGTTCATTCATATTCATTCTCTCTCTTTCTCCCTTTGTCTTTCTCTGTCCATCTCTCCCTCTCTCCCCCTCCTCTCTCTCCCTCCCCTTCCCTTAATGTCTTTCTCTTCCTCTCTCTTCCTCTCTGTCTATGGTTAGATCAAGCACCAAAGAAAACTTAGGGTCCATTGACTTTCCCTGATTTTCAAATAGATGTAAATAACCTCTTTTGTGGCTTAACACTTGATTTTAAGAATTGCTAGACCCAATCTAACTCAAAATTTAACATGTAGAATCTCCATTATTTTACATGTAATAGTTTTCTGATGAGATTTGATTCATTTGAGTTAGAAAATGGATATTGTGACAGATGGAGATAAACATGGAGGAAAAGGCATTATTAGGAATACGGAACCCTTTGGAGGGCTGGGCCAGAGGACTCCAGTACATATCCTCAGTCCCTATATGTTTTGGAGCACTTTCCACATAAGAGTGAGAAGCTTGAAGCTCTTTAAGCCCATACTCACTTCCTGTTCTACCCCAAGGAGCAGCCTCAAACTGGCATTAAATTTCCTCCCAGGCACAGACACAGCTATGGAGAGGAAATAAAAGGAAAGAATCCATTTGCATAAACCCTTCCCCTGCCCAGTGGGCTGCATAACTTTCAGCTCAGCTGGGGGGGGTGGGGTGGGGAGTGGATGTTCTATAAGTGTGCTTATGCCCCAGAATTGTTCAGTTGGCGCAGACAGGTTCACATGAGGGCCTTTATGTTCAGAATGTAACTGATAGTTAGCCTTAACAACCAGCCAGTTTTTTCAGGCTCTTTTTCCTCTATGCTGTGTTTTCTTTTTCTTTTTCCTTTTCTTTCTCTTCAAGCCAGTCCGAAAGCAAATGCACTACTGCAATAGAAATCCACCCTCTCTGTTTCCATCTGTACTCTGGAGAGCACAAATTTGAAAATGAGTAAGCCTTTGAGGTAGACAAACTTCACTGGGTACAGTATGTGCCCAGAAAGTTCCACATTCATATATGTGTGGTGTGTGTGTGTGTGTGTGTGTGTGTGTGTAATTTTAGGCCACTTGTCATGCTCACACACATACATGCATACATATATAGAAAATGAATATAAATCAGTTGCTCTAAAACTGTCTTCCTTCCTCTATTACTTATGCAGGTAGATGGCTCCTTATAACTGACAAAGCCCTTAAGGAGGGGGTTGGGGGTCATTCCTAAGTATTCCAAAGCAGACCTAAGTTGCTGTTTTGTTCTGTGTGGAAACTTTGAGACATGTTTTCAGGGGGAAAAAATAGCTTTCAAAAACTTACATCTTAGGAAAACATTCAGCCAGCAGCTGGTAAGTTGGTCTAATGTTTATACTACTGACCTGAGTACTTTTTCTTTATGCATTATGTTAGCTGTTCCAAGAAGCCTTGAACTATCAAGATAGGGTTAGTCTTTACAAGTCACATTTTCTGTGAAGTGGCTATTGGGGACAATCTGCTGTCAGATAAATGCTTCTAAGAGAAGAATGACTGTTTAGATGGATGTGCCTTCACACGCCATGGAAGCCCAAGCGCCCTCTAATTTAAGTATGGAACCCTCCAGTATTCTTTAACAAAGCGGGGGGGAAAAAGAATCTTTCAGGTTTATTTTAAATACATCTTTTTTGTATTTATTTTAAGGTGTCTTGTTCATGAGGAAGCAGTGATAAAACTGTAGGGAGCGAGTGCTGTTTCATTATACCTTTTATGGCCTATTAATTTGTTACCATCTATTCACCTTTGTTGATGAAATTTTAATTTTGCCCTTGCTCGAGCATATTGTAAGAATTGTATAAACTGCTGCTCCCTGAGCTGACAAAAAGGTCCTTTTAGAGTGAACAATTGGGAGCTCATTTTATTTCTAGAGCACATTTAAAATAACTTATGAATGAGAGTTGTCAGACATGAAATGCTGTATTAATTAAATCTTTTTCTAGTCTTTTTGCTTCTCTAGCTAAACCAACCCTTTAGAAAAACACATGGCCACCTTAATTATAGAGAAGAAGACAAAAAGTATCCTTCACATTCCTCCGCCTGAATAAGAATAAGAACCCAATTCATCTAAATAATAACCCCATTAGCCGCTTAACTCAACTGTGCACATGGGAAAATTTTCGAACCACAATGTAAAAAGTGTTGATTGGGTGGATCGTTTTCAAGGTCTTGTTCTTTTAATGTTCAAAATGATCATTTTAAGTAAATCCGATATGTCATAACTAGTAGCTTCAGAGCATTTGTGACTTTTGACAAAAGTTTTGTGTTCGTATCAACTAATACATCTTTGTCTTTTATTATCTAGCAACAGTACCACTCAAAAATAGACGATTTGATTGACAACTCTGTAAAAGAAATCATTGCTCTGCTGGTTTCAAAGGTAAAGCATATCAAATCACCTTTAAGGTTAAAATTAAAAATCTACTTTCCCTGAAAACTTGTAGACATCTTACATCTCTAAATAACTATTAAAGAAATTGTACTTTAAAAAAATAAGTGGAAGAAAAATTTGAATATTAAGGAAAGTTGTGAACAAAAAAAGACCACGAATACTGTGTCAATAGCTTTTTTGTTGTTATTGTTTATAATGAATTTTGACTTTTCATAAAATTGTTCTTTTAAAAAATAATTTTTTCTTCCACTAATACCGTCTCATATCACATTCATGTTCTCTTACTAGCTGTTTTAACTTCAGGGTAGGTTTGAATAGTCTTCTAGCTCAAAGTGTCTTTGACAAGAACTATGGCCTTTGTATAAGTGGAGTTGAGGCATAAATAGATGTGTCATTTAGTAATTAGATTATTAGAATCCCACTAAGGTGTAACATATGTGTCATGGGTGGCATTTGCGATCAGGAACTGATTAGAAAAGAAGACAGAACCTGAAAGCACCAGGGTGAGGAGAGAGTTGAACCACTAGAGAATCAAGTCCTTGAGGAAGAAGAGTGAAATTTCCACACTGAAAGGAGCCCAACCAAGCAGCATATGGCACCACACAGCACAGTCAACCCATGAAAGTGAAAAAACATTGTGCCTTCTTTCTCTTCCTCTGTGAGGCATCCAGGGGGATTTTACACAGATAAGACCTCTCCGTCATATAGCCTCTTCATCTGTGGAGGCTACCTTTTGTGAGACATTTATATGCGGAAGTCACTCAATTGCATGCCAAGGTGCAGATAATATAGAGTTAATTAGACAGCAAGGGGGGAACAAAAACTAGATTTTGCAGGGAGAGTCAGGATGTTGTAAAGAAGGCATAGTTGCATATGACCTCTGTATTCATTTCTGGCATATTAAGAAACACTTTTCAATAGCAAATGCATCTAGTTAATTGAAAAAAAAAAAACACTATATTTGGCTTAAGTAAGGAAAAAGCATTCTAGAATCCAGTGCTATAGAATAAAAACTTCCAACCTGATTAAGTTGTTTGGCTTAGGCCAGCTCTGTGTGGTTTGAGTCCTGGACCCAGCAGCTTGAGAAACACACTGGGTACGTAAGCATCTGCCCAAAAGAAAGAGGGAAGGTGAGAAGACATTCCCCATAGGAAATGGTTATGCCACAATCCATTCTCTTCCATTTTACCTCTTCTTCGTGGATTTTGGGTACATATGCATACACATCTGGTGTATTTTTCAAGCTGCCAGGTCTGGGATCAGAGTGCCAAGTAAGCCATGCGGTATCTAGCAGCCTTAACCAAGGCCATGGGCTGGCCCAAATTACCTTTAATTCTTTAGCTGAAAGTATAAAATCAATAAATTTGCTAAGTTGGACCAAAATAAGCTTCCATAAGAGATTGACAATAAATGGTGTTTTAAAATTTGATTCAAAATGAATCTCTATGCTTATATTTTTAGGCCACTATATTGAGGTGTGCTTGGCATGTAAAAATGTGTGTACACAAGGCCAGCGGATGGCATGGTGGTTAAGGCACTGGATTCTTGCATGACCAAACATATTTCAGGTCCCAGACCTAGTGACTTGAAAGTCACGCTAGGCACATGTGTGTGCATGCCCAAAATTCCTAGAAGAGAATAGAGGAAAAGAGATTGCATCATGGCCATACCAATGGGGGATGATTTTTCACTTTCCCTCTGTCTCTCTCTCTCTGGTGAGCACATGCACCCTATGACAAAAACCTAACAACAACAAAAATGTGTATATACTTAATGTATGCCACTTGATAACTTTAGAGATAAATATGCTATCATAATATATATGATATATTTCCAAACATTTCCTTCAGCCCTCTCAATTTATCTTATTTACAAGGGAGTAGAACATAAGATCTACCCTCTTAGCAAACTATTGTTAACTATAGACACTGTGCAGTACAGTAAATTTCTAGAACTTATTTAAGCTTTGCTCTTTTACAAATACCTCTGCATGTCTCCTATCCATGGACTCTGTCAATCACCATTCTACTCTGCTTCTATTAGTTTTAACTATCTTAGATACCTCAACTAATAGGTAGTCTATAGGATTTGTCTTTCCATGTCTGGCTTATGTCATTAGACATCTTATATTCTAGGTTTCTCTGTGCTGTCGCAAAAGAACAGGATTTCCTTCTTTTTTAAGGCTGACTAAATTTTATTTTAGAGGTATACCACAATTTCATTATCCGTTTATCTGTCAGTGGACACTTAACATTACTTCCAAGTGCTGGCTATTGAGAATATTGTTGCAGTGAACATGGGAGTATGGATACCTCTTTGAGATATCAATTCTAATTCCTTTGAATGCATACCCAGCAGTGGGAATGCTGGATCATGTGGTAGTTCTATTTCCAACTTTTGTTTTTTACATTCAATCACTGTGTATCATTACAGCATACCAAATGAATTTTCCCATCATGAATATACTGTGTACTGGCTTAGTCAAAGATATTATCATATATGTTATCAACAGATAATTTTCTGTATTTGTGTCCTTAAATGTTTTGTTTCTTTCTTCTTTCCCTTGATTACCTTCCTCTAACCCTCCCCCATTTTCTACCTTCCTACCACACTGTCTATGGTATCCACAGTTGCTCTCCATGCCTTTATACCTTCCAATCTTTCAGTTTCTGCCATAAAGTGCAAGGAGTCAGTGTATATTGAATGGAGACATACAATACCTCTCTTTCATAGTCTGCCTTACTTTGTTTAGCAGTAAATCTTCCATATTCATCCACTTTTTATCAAATGTCAGGGTCTCATTGTTTTTTTATGGCTGAATAGTATTCTGTAGTGTATATATACCATGCTTTTTCAATCTATTCATCTGTTTGTCAACATGTAGGTTGGTTCCATGTCTTAGCAATTGTGAACAATGATGCAATAAGCATAGATGTGTAAGAATTTTTCTGACTGAGTGTATTCCTATTCTTTGGGTAGATATGCAGGAGTGGAACTGCTAGATCTTGTAGTTCTATATGTAGGTCTTTCAGGAATCTTCATATTGTTCTCCACAGTAATTGTACTAATTTACATTCCCACCAGCAGAGTAGGACAGTTTCATTTTCTCCGCAGCCTTGCCAGCACTTACATTCTTTATTTTTTTAATCCTAGCTATTCTGTGGGTTAGGTGGTATCTCATTGGGATTTTGATTTGCATCTCCCTTATGATGAGGGATGTTGAGCATTTTTTGTATGTTTTTTTGGCTGTTTGTATGCTTTCTTTCAAGAGTTGTCTGTTTAGCTCATTTGCCCATCTTTTAATTAGGTTGCTTATTTTGGGGGGGAGGAGTAAACTGTTTGCGTTCCCTGTATATTCTAGTTATCAGTCCCTTATCTGAAGCATAGTTTGAAAATATATTCTCCCAATCCAGTGGTTGTCAGTTCACTCTATATTGTTTCTTTTGCTGTACAGAAGCTTTTTAACATGATGTAATCCCATTTGGCTATTTTTGAGATTATTGCCTATGCTTTGCAGATCTTATTTAAGAAGTCTTTGACTACCATGATGTCTCCAAGAGTTTCTCCTGTGTTTTCCACCAGTGGTTTTATAGTTTGAGGTCTTAGGTTTAGAAATTTGGTCCACTTTGAGCTGATTTTTGTTAGTGATGAGAGACAGGGTCCAGGTTCATCTTTGTGCAGGTAGATACTCAGTTTTTTTTTTCCCCAGACTGGATTGTCTCATGCCCTTTGTCAAATATCAGTTGACTGTATGTTTTGGGATTTATTTCTGGGATCTCTACTCTGTTCCATTGGTCTATATGCCTGTTTTGATGCCAGTGCCAAGCTGTTTTGATTATCATAGCTTTGTCATGAGTAGGAGACATATCACTTCCTGACACCATAATATATTATTTACAATTTTTTAAGCATCTTCCGCAATATTTTTCATATGGTCTACACCAATTTGTATTCCCACCAACAGTATAAAGTATTACATTTTCTCTACACCTAATTTACACGTGTTACATTTTTGTCTTTTTTGATAATAGCCATTCTAATAAGTATGAGGTGATATCTTATTGTAATTTTGATTTACATTTCCCTGATGATTAGCGATGTTGAGTGTGTTTTTATATACTTGTTGGCCATTTCCGTCTCTTCTTTTTATAAATATCTATTCAAGTCCTTCAACCATTTTCTAAATCCATTTGTTTTTTGCTATTCAGTTATTGGAGTTCTTTATCTATTTGGAGTGTTAATCTCTTATCAAATATAGGTATTCTTCTATAAATTGCCTTTAACTCTGTTGATTCTTTTCTTTGTCACATGGAAGCTTTTTCGTGTGATATGATCCCCGTTTGTCTATTTCTGCTTTTGTTTTCTGTGTTTTTGATGTTAAATATCCAAGGTATCATTGTGAAATCCAGTGTTATTAAGCTTTTCTCCTATTTTTTTTAGGAGCGTCATAGTTTCAGATCTTATTTGAGTTGTTTAAATCTAATTTGAAGGGATTTTTGATAATAGGGAGTAGAACAGCCCAATTTTATTCTTTTTTTATGTGGATATTGAATTTCCCAGAATCACTGGGAATCAGTTATCATTCACTATTTTATACTTTTAGCACCCTTGTGGAAGATCATTTGACCATTTATTTATGGGTTTATTTCTGGTCTTTGCATTCTGTTCCACTGGTCTGAAAGCTTTCTTCTGTGCCAGTACCAAACTGTTTCAATTACTATAGTTATGCACTATATTTTGAAATCAAGAAGTATGATATCTCCAGCCTTATTCTTCTTTTTCAGAATTCCTTTGCTATTTGGTGTCTTTTGTGGTTCCATATAAACTATAGAATTGCTTTTTATACTACCATAAAATCAATGCCATTATGATTTTTAACAGATTGTATCAAATCTGTTGATCACTTTAGATCATTAAGATATTTTGAAAATATTAATTTTCCAATTTATGAATATAGAACATCTACATTTATTTGCTTTGATTTTTAA